GATAACGATCCCATGAATTCAAAGATACTCGCAAAGACCTTCGTGCTCGTAATACAGCCTTGTGTAAGCAATTCCGAATGGTCTGAGTGCTAACTTCAAGTCCAGAGGCGGCCCGTATTTCTGCTTTTAATTTAGTGGCGTTTATTGTTGGGTCGCGGGCTACCAGCAACTTGATGTAGCCCTTCTGAGCAGCTGTCAAAACAGTTGGGCGACTAAATTACCCATCCCGTGTTACCTCTGCAACGTGGTTACTACACAAGATTGGGATATGGCAACTCTGCGTACTATTTCTCTCGTCGAATAGCCTTCTTCCCTCAAAGTTACAATTCCGGCTCGTATAACATCTGATAAACCTCGTGGCATTTTTTAAACCACAACTTTCCGTGGAAAAATATTTTAAATTCGATAATATTGACTAAGTCACATTTCTGAATGAGTGACTTGGATTGCATGTCTTTTTATATGGATAAACAATTGAATTATTTTATTGTTTTACATTCTTATTCTAATTTTAATATTTAGAATTTTATCAGAAAAATAAATTACAAAAAAGTCTCCTGTAACACAAAAAACAATTTATTATTTAAAAAAATCCACGCGGACCAGGCAGCGGAGTCGAGTCCCGTCCGCTGCCTGGTCCGCGTGGATTTTTTTTCTAATAAACTTTTCTTTAGATTTAAACATCTAGCAGTTAAATGCTTAAAAAGAAATAAAAACATAACAATTTATTTTTCAAAGCGATCGCAAACTTTTTTTGATGTGTGTTCATATCTTAGATAAAAATATTCAAGTGCAATTTGGTGCTTCTTCAAACCCGTAAGGGATATGCATAAGGCATGAACACCTATATGAACGTGGGTTAGGAGAACATTTTAAAGTTATTATTAAAAATTTAATTCGTGAATTAAGTATAATCTCGAAGGGCGAATAACAGAAGTATAATTCCTAATTAAATGACGCATACCAGAATCAGTAGGAGAGATCTAATTAAAATACTTGTATAGTTTTTGTGCTAATACATTACCCTGTCGATATGTTATAGTCATATTTATTCAGGATTGGTGGCGACGCGCGACGCGCGACGTGACCGTCACGTCTGCTACACTACACGTGTATGTTATGACGTATTTTTGTATCATAATATCAAAATAAATAAAACATATTTTTTGATATATAAACATTACAAATACACACATCAAAAGTGTCTAGGGATCAAGCATTTTTATGCGGATTTCTTGAGATTGAGATGTGGCTTTGTAATAAATTTATGATTTTATAAATTTATATGGATCCTTTTTGGTGCATTTCATAATTTGAATCAGGAACTGTGAATCAAATTCGAGTAAAAGATGAAAAACAGCTGTCAATATTTTCCCTATAAAAACATACAACGCATTGAAGACATTATTAGTGCTACTGTTTCCCTACTACTGATTAAAACCAACGTTATTATGGAGCGGCGACGTCATTTAAGCAGGGAAGAAATGCTCAGAGCCGTGGGAATGATAGAAGCTGGTTCCCGGCAACGTACTGTGGCTTTAGCTCTGAATACAAGTCAGAGTGTTATCAGTCGACTTTGGACACGATACCGAAGCACTGGTACCGTGGCTGAGCGCCATGGAGGACGGTATCGCTGCACCACACGGAGACAAGACCGATACATTCAAATCTTAACTCGAAGAGCTCCAACAATAACCGCCATGATGTTAGCCGTGAGGCTTCATCACTCTTCAGGGAACTTAATTAGCGACCAAACAGTCAGAAACCGCTTGCATGAAGTGAACCTTCATTCCCGAAGACCGCTACGGGTACCACCTATAGCAATGCACAATCGTAGGATTCGATATCAATGGGCTCTTGAACACAGAAATTGGGCAGAAGAACAATGGCGTTTCGTGTGCTTTTCTGATGAGTCTCGTTTTGGTATGAGACCGGATACAAGACGTATACGACACTGGAGAACCCCTGGACGCCAACAGCGATTAAAATCCTGCCAGGAAGTCCATCCTTATAGTGGTGGAACCATCATGGTATGGGCGGGTATTTGGATCGGCGGAAGAACTGAGTTGATTTGGATCAGAGGCAACCTCAACGCTCAAATTTATGCTGAGACGATTGTATCAGACGTCATCGTTCCTCTACAAGTGCAAATCGGTCCCTTATTTCAGTTAATGCATGATAATGCACGACCGCACACCGCAAGAGTTGTAAGACAGACTCTCGCCGCAGCTAACATCAATGTCCTGCCCTGGCCTGCTGAGTCGCCAGACTTGAACCCGATTGAGCATGCATGGGATATGCTACAGAGAAGAGCTCTGCCGAATATGGAGGGTATCCAGTCGCAAGAAGACCTTTTTTTGTTGTTGCAACGAACATGGGCGGCCATTCCACAGCGTGATTTGGATGAACTCATTTTGAGTATGCCAAACCGATGTTCTTGTGTTGTTAGTGTTCGCGGTAGAAATACGGATTATTAATTGTTTAAGTTACCCAATAAAATTTTAGAGAAAACTGTTATTTCAGTCTTTTTTTCGAACTTTTGTGTTAGTGGTTCAAATGTCAAAAATCCCTTTATTAGGAAAATGGCAAATTTCTTTATTAATGCAAAGGTGACTTGGTTTATCGTTACTGTGACAAACAAAAACACTTTATTTGATGAATCCTTAAAGAAAATTTTAATTAATATCAATCAGGAGAAAAGTTATTGCAAAAATATATGTTGATCCCTAGACACTTTTGATGTGTGTATGTTCTCTTCGGTTTGACAGCTTATTTAATATTTTGAAGACCAACAGCTAACTTACAACAGAAGATAGAAATACAGTTGCTAGTAACAAATAGTCAATTATTATAGGTTCTCGCAGATAACAACAGATTAAATTTTTAAGGACGTACTATTAAAACACATGTAAGCATACACAAATAATATTGGCTGCAATTATAGAGTACAATAGTTAAATATTTCATTTCATTCAACATCTATATCAAAAAACATATTGGAAATAAGACGCCGCGCGCCGAAGCCTCACCAGTGTCAGAAACATCTAATTTAGCCTGGGTTGAGAGTGTGGCTTAAAATGCAATATACGTATGCATTATAATGAGCAATCCCGTCCCGCGGCACATGAGCTTGATCACGTTTACAAATATTCTTTTTTGTTTTGTGGCCAGAGAAATTAAACCCACACAGCGCTGCGCATATAGAGAATACTATATACTACGCAATAAATTGTGTCTCGACGCTTTGCAAAAAAATTAATGTGACAGCAGTATCCAGTGCAACTGGCGAACTTGTTTAAACTTTTTAATACATCCGTGCGTCTACGTACGAATTGACGTCATTCATAGACCGTTTAATGCGAATATTATGACGCTTGTGAGCCTCGACCACGTCGCGTACACAGAAGTTTTGGTAGCGCGAGAGGTGACATGGACGGGGGAGGCGTATGGTTCAATAATGTAGCGTACCTACATTCAAAAAAAATTGTTGTAAATTGTAGTTGGTCGTGCATTGTAAATTAAAATAGATTAAATGTAAATTGTAAGACAAAATATTAATTTGTTTCTTCAAAACAGTGATGTTCACACACTTAATACAAGAAACAAAAATAAACTAACTTTACCTGCTACTAGGCTTCACAAAATCAATAATTCATTTAAAGGTCTTTGTGTTCGCTTATACAATAAAGTCCCAAGCAATATCCAAGAGTTAAGCATAAATAAATTCAAAGATAGTATAAAAAAAGCACTTATTAAAAAAGCTTATTACAAAGTGTCTGATTATATTACAGACAAAAATGCTTGGGTTTGAACTGTTCCAATCATTCCAACAGGTTTTCTATATTAAATAAATCATGATTGTATTGACGTTGTAGCAACATAATGATTTGTAAATGTTGTTACACGTTATGCTTTTAATGTTGTGGAGTTTTTTTCGCTCGTTTTTCTCCGCAGCTAGAAAATATGTCCAATAACGAGTGGTAGGGAAAAAAATGTTTGGACTATTCAAAAGTGTTGTACTATACATCCAATTTGAATAAAGATATATTGATTTCTGGTTTCTGATTTCATAGCGATCGCTGCAGTGGAATCGTAGGCCCACATTGTCTTACACTGGAGCCCATACAACTATTGAAATACGCACTGCGTGTCCATAGTGCACTCTTGTAGGCACAACTTTTTAACAGAATCACCCATTTAATAATAAAATATTAGCAAAGCTAATAAACTATTAAAATAAATCGTTATTATAGACTGAAACCTATTGAATCCAGTTATCAGTTGATTTTTAATGCTGTATTTTCAATAAAAAGGAGTGCCAAGATTGTTTACCAAATAGGACAAGTTAGGATGAACAGACTGTAGTATCTAGTAACAGAACTTTTATTTATTATTTTTTTAAACAGATTGGCCGTAAAAAAATAATAATGAAGGACATTCTTTTGGGTATGCTAGGGCCGATTTCGTCGATGTCCTACGATGTATGTTATGTGATAAATATTGTATTACTCATACAAAAGACATCAACGTGTGTATACAAACTTTTCCATTCTGAAATAATAAAAATAACATAATCAATAACACTTAAGGTGATAAATGTAAAGATTACTTATTAGCATATAAATTATGGAGGCACCTAAGAAATCAACGGTTTGAATTAGTTAATACGTTTTATACAAAATAAACTCTTTGATAAACAAAAATCAATACCATACCTTTCATCCGTTTTAAGTGGACCTCTATTTGTTTACGTAGATGATATTTATTTGATAATTTAACAAGCGTGCAGAAGGTCAGAAGGGTCATGTTATATTGGCCAGTTGTGCCGTTGAATCAATGAGGCGTACAACTGTTGCGCAACGTATATAAACGGTTTGTACGCGGCGCGGGCGCAGTCGAAAGCTTCTGTAGTTTGGGTTAGCCGACTTAACTCCTTACCTTTCCTTAGGATTTAATTAATTAAGTTTACGTTATCTAGTAATATTCTAAAGTAGTTCAAAATGAATGTGCATTTATTGTTTGTGGCGCTGTTTGCAGTCGGCGCTAACGCGGGATCATTGCGTGAGTTTATTTTCATTAATTTGATTTACTTACGAGAAAATTATTAAAGCATTATAATAGTAATAACTTGAAACAAATAAATAAGTAAAATTTTTAGAAACCAAAATTACCTAATATAAAAAAATATTAGAGATAAAGTAAAAATGCATAAGTAGAAACAATTTAGACCAAGTACTTATTTACTTGATCTAAAAAATCTATAATCTCATATTTTCGTTTTTTTGTTGTTAAATTTTCCATAACTGATTTCTTCAGTTCAAAGTACTTATAGTTCAAATATTTATTCATAAGTTATTATTAGTTTGGTTTGTCTGTCAGTTTTCATTAATCTCATTATGAAAACTTGCCTACCCTGTTGTATTCTGGGTTGAAACTATATTTATGTACCAATAATATATCGATTCTCTTCTTCTTCTGTGGAGCATAATATATTATGCATACAAACTGTCATCTTATTGTTTACCCCCTGCAACTTTTATTTTGGCGACAAAAAGTCATCTAACTTGGTCTGTTTGCGTGATCACCTGTATCTCCAAAAATTAATCATCAAATTCGGTCCAGTGGTATTATCTGACAGACAAAGTTAGTTTGTAATGTTGTATAATTTTACTGATTGTTCAATTATTGAGAGTCATCAAATAAAAGTACTTATTAATTCAAAGATATGTAATTTAAAGCAATTTCAGTTCCACAATCTACCTGCTATTTACAAACAAAACGTTTTGCAATAAACTGGTAATCGAACCCAAGACTCGCAGACAGGATCTCGACTAATGAATGAACCGCTCGCAAGCCGAGGTCATTGTAGCACCAAATATGTCGAAACGTACACGCTGCGGTTAAGCAAGTATGCATGTATAGTATGTATATTTTTATCCATTTTTCAAAGATATGAAAAAATAATTTATTAAGCAAAGTCATGAGAAGCTCGCTGGCGCAGGTGGTTAGCGCGTTCGGCTGCGGTCGTTGAAGTTAAGCAACTTTCGCAGTGGTCGGTCATTGGATGGGTGACCAAATACCTTCTATCTCGAGTTCCTCCGTACTTCGGAAAGCACGTTAAGCCGTGTTGGTACTGGCTGCATCTGCAGTCGTTTAGCACCCGTCAATCCGCACTGGTGGGTCATGGCCCAATATCCCTAATCCATCCATAGGGAAGGCCTGTACCCCAGATGATGATGATGAAGCAAAATCAAGTCTTATATGAAAAAACTTCTTAAATATTACACACTACTCAGTGAAATGTTTTCCATAATAGATGTCTGAGTGTATTTTGCCCATTCTTCTAATCAGCTAAAAGGCGTCATGAATAGGCGTTAGGAAAAATATTTTACCCTTTATTCGAAACACACTGCAATAAATAAAGGAAATAGTTCAAAAGTGGTAGTCGGTGTCCGATGGCGACGAAACATACATTATTTGAAAGCTTGTCTAAAAGCTTGAAAAATCTGGAAAAATTCATGATAATAGCAAGCTTTTCATGAACTTATAACGGATATAATTATAACGTCTTCTTCGTTTTGCCAAAGCCTAGCCCACTGTAATCTCCGTCGCTGACGTTCCCGTGAATTCAAATGTGCTCGCCAAGACCTCCGTGCTCGTAATCCAGCCTTGTGTAAGCAATAATTCCGAATGGTCTGAGTGCTAACTTCAAGTCCGAAAGCGGCTCGTATTTCTGATAATTTCCGTGAAAAAATATTTTAAATTCGATAATATTGTCTAATTCAGATTTCTGAATGAGTGACAGCTTGGATTGCATGTCTTTTTATATGGATAAACAATGTAATTATTATATTGTTTAACGTTCTAATTCTAATTTTAAAACTGAGAATCTTATCAGAAAAAGAAATTACAAAAAAGTCTTCTGTAACACAAAAAACACTCTATTTTTTAACTAGAGTATTTTTTTTGTGCACACTTTTTTTGATGTGTGTATATTGATATTAATTGGTTTTTCTAATTTACGATATAGAAAATAAAGACTCCTGCTCAAATATATTGTGGTAACTACAGGCAACTACGGAACCCTACACTGCGCGTGGCACGACACGCACTTGGCCGGTTTTTATATTATAGATTTGTTAAAGTATGTAAATGTTTGGCATATATATGTTAAGTTGTTAAAAACACGTGGCGACCAAGGTAGACGGGGAGAGAACTTGATTCTCAGCGTGTGAAATAAATTCGCTTTTACAATTTTTTTGCATTCTGAATGTCATTGAATTAAATGATGTGGTGCAAGGATTCACAAATACCTAATAGAATTGTTCGTGACATGTTTATTTATTAACTGCCTGAGATTGGAGGTAGTTATTGACATTAAAAGTATCTGGGTAACAAATAATTTGTTGTATAAATTATCGAATCAACGTTAAGAAAAGCTAGTTTTTCAGATTGATTGTCGATTTACTCTTTTTCATATGAAGTCAACAATATCCTTTGATCCATTTGTTTAACCGATTTTCTTAGCCGAATTTTTTTCACTTTTCACCTAAATGCTTACGAATTTTGTTTTTTTTTTCATTTTCAAAACTGGTTAAATGAGTTCTAGTTTATAAATCAAGAAATAAAACTAAATAATATAATTACGAAATTTGATTTTTTATTGGCATTTCCTTAACTGGTTCTTAAATAACATGTTTTTTTTTTCATTTTCTTAGTTGTTTATCTTAACAAATTATGAAAACGGAAAAAAAATCTTTTGCATAACCAGTTAGTAAAAAATGAAGAAAAAAATCTTTCTCGAACATAGTTAAGAAAATGGACCAAAGGAGCAATATTTTTTTTATAGCGAGGTAGGCAAACGTCTCTACTCCACCTGATGTTATATATGATGCTATATGATCCAATATACCCCTATATTTTGTAAAAATAAAGCAAATTGAAATTTTTTGTAGAAAATTATAATAATTTAAATGAATAGAAAAAAAAAATCTGTGTCAATACTGACACAACAATCCCGATTAATTAGCAATACCACTATCTCTATCTAAATCTAATCTAAAGTCAACGAGGACGAAGTATATAATAATTAGGCATTAGCATTGAAATAAACTCGCACTTATATGCCGACTATATTCGCCTCGATAAAGCTGCGTCGAATTGTTCTTATTTTTCTAGGCTATAAAGTACCCAATATTTTCATCCTGGTAATAAAATATCTGTTTGCAAATTTTCATCCAAATAGCAAACCGTATTTGCGTGATTGAATAATAAACATACACAAAAATCACAGTCAAATAAAACTATCTTTTGGTGGTGTTGTGTTCCTGTCGCTAGATAAGTACGGGGCACGGGGTTCTGGGGCATTACGGGGCAGCGGATGGGGTTATGGTTTGCGAAAAAATGTCTAGTAGGTCATTAGCTTTTTAAACCACGCCTTTTACTTAAAAAGCACACAATTTTTTTCATTTCTATTATTCGTAGGTCTTAAAAAAATTAAAAGGATCAATCATCACTCATTGAATTGTTTATGAATGCAAATAGACGATGCGTCTTATATACGGTCGCGGTCAGAAAATGTTTACCACCTTAAGGATCATAATTGCATGAACACATTTAGGTCACAAGTTCTAAATGTCTATTTCATAATAATTTGATTGACCATAGATTTTTTTTCTAATGATATGACAATCAATCGCTCTAGGAGATGGACTGACTACTATCAAGGTTTGATATATATTTTAAATAATTCGCCTCACACTTGGATTTTCTTGTATATCGTGGGTGTAATTATATGTTTGTAACATATAATCTCACATGCACATTGCACATACGCCCAGGCCAAATTTCTGTAGGCCATACAAAATATCTGTGCCGTGCGGGAATCGAACCCGCGCACTATGGAAAATGGAAGAACAACGACATATCAAAAATCTATTTTACTAATGTCGTTACTGACGCACTTTAATTTTTTTTAATAGTTTCAGAGTGGAACTAATCTGTAATGTAATAATTTTGGTTGAAATAAATTTGGATTCGTTTTGAGGCACGATATGAGCTTCATCATCATACCGAATTCGATTATAACGCCATAAATTTTATCTTCCGATTTGGCTTGATTTAAAGGTGTTCTCATCGGTAAATATAGTATTCCACCAATCTAAATCGAGATGTTATCGCGCAAAGTTAAACCGGACAGTTTGTGGTGAGGTTTCAGCTCTAATTTAATAACATAGTGTCTGTAGTGTATTTCAGTACCCTCAGTACGAGTTGTAGCTCACGAAAACTATCATAGTTTTCGTAATTGTAAAACTCGTACTAAAGGTACAACACTGTGCAAAGCTCGTCGGATCGTCCGAGCACTCACATCATATAAAGCAGCAAAATAACTAGTTGGTGTGAAACCGTTCTTTTAGTAACGACGAATCATTTCTGTTATTTGCGGTTAGTATTGGTCGTCGTCCTGAATTATTTCTATGATCTGTTAATTGCCCTTCTTCGCCGTGACGCCGGATCCAAAACCTCGCAGTGAATCGCGATATAGTAAGTTCTCGCGATAGTTATATCGCGATTAGTTATAATACTTTGTCCATCTTCGAAGAGAAATATTATTTCAGCCCTTTGCTCCAGGGCCAAACTTGCTATTTTATTTCGTTATGAAATTATTTTTCGTAAAATTTTGCTCTAAGTCAAACAATGTTCAAACAATAATTTATTATAAATATCATTTCAACAAATAAAGAAATGAGTTTCAATATCAAAAAGTAATAAGTATATTTTTATTTTGTTATTCTCGGTGCGTCATTTTGAAAGGTAGTAAGTTACTTGATATAAATTGGTAAACATTTTGTGACCGCGACCGTACATCGGCGACTTTGTACGCGTGACGTGACCTCCACCGTATGTGTCGTATCGTAATACACGCTAATATCACTGACCTGCTTATACATTATTTGGATTAGATATAAATTGTTAGGTATAAAAAAAATATTTACCAAATAAAATAGCGCTTTAAACCTAATACACCAAATATTTTATTTTTAAACCAAACAAAGTAATAC